TGTTTATACTCGATGATGGATTTCATTGCATGGTTTCAACAAGGATTACAGTAAATGCTCAGTTTAGGTAAAGTCATAATCTAATTAAAGAATTTCAGTCTAAATCCCTTCTATGCCGGTACAGATGCAGCTGTCAAATGTCTCTAAGCATTTCGTTTTCCATGGCAACAATTAATTGGATATGTAACAGTTTGTGTGCTTTAAATGAGGCTGATGGGGTTAGTAATTGAATGCTTGGATTAATGATTTACAGCTGGTTTCACTAGCTTATTTGTTGTTTACAAACATTTTCACTGTGACACTTTCCTGCCTTCCTAGGAGGAAGCATCAGGACATCGCCACAAAACAATGGGGTCTTTTTATCTATGTATTCCCTTTGAGCTTTATGACCATTTTAATACTTAGGGCAATTAAAGGATTATGGACAAAAAGTTCAAAGTTGGAAAGCTTCATTTAAGCTTCATTTTTCCAGGGGTGTTTCCAGTTATTTATGTCAAATATTGTTTCCATTTTTTTCCAGTTCAAATCAGAAGGCAGTTCTGGCTCTCCTGGATGGTGAAATAATGTTTGTCTCTTGTGGTGGAAACTGATGTAGGAATCTCTATGAGAAAGATGGATTGAGGCGAAAGCAGAGATTACTGGAAAGTCTGTGCATTAGAGGATCACCAGCACTGGAGAAAAGAGGGGAGAGAACCAGGCTGGAGACATTTCTCAGAGGAACGGGTATCCTTAGTGCGAACAGGCAGGAAGTATGAAAGTATTAGGACTTGAAAGAGAACTGGGCATTTTATACAGCTCTGTTTAATGTTTTATATCTCACTTATCACTGGATGCCTCAAGGGGGCAGGATTGTGTTGGAGTTGGGGGCTATAGCTAGCAGCACTGAGGAGATTCCAGGCAGTGATGAAGCCCATATGGCAGCTCCAGGAGGCTGCTGTAGTCCCCCCAGGGCTGTGAGAGTTATGGTAAAGGTTTCCCATGGCCCCAGAGCAGGATTGGGAAGATGCAAAAGTAGCTTACGGACACCTTATCCTAGGCTGTGAATTCTGTGCTGCTCCTCTTGGCACAAGATAGAATCACGATCTCTGTGTCCCACTAAGATTTCCGGTGCTGAGGTAATAAAGGCAAATGTGTGGCATCTGTGGCTCTGAAGGCAATGTATAATTTTGAATGAACAGGAACCTTAGCTGTTAATGTATCATTTTACTTCACATGTAGGTGCTCAGATCCAACCCTTAGTGACAGAAGGATACTCACATACCATATGGTGAGCAGTTAGAACAAGAACCTTAGCTGTAGCACTGAAGGTGGTGCTTGCTCTGTAGAGCCGGGATGCAGTCAGCACTTTTTAAGTGCAGAAAGCCTTCTATTCATCCTCCTCCCCTCCGGAGCTACTCTCTCCTCTCAGCTTTACCTGGTACAGGAAACCCTCCTTCTGCTGCCTCCTGTTGATCCATGGCCCATTACACAGACCCACATCACCTACTGCTTGCCTGATCCCTTCCACCATCATGTCTGAGACAGACACCCTCTTATAATCTGCTGTCTTCCACCTTCCTATCCAGTACTGGGCCAGCTCTCTCTTCCTTCTCTTGTCTACTGCAGAGGAACACCTAGTCCCATGCCCAGCTCCTCACCACCATTATTCATATTCAGTATTTGGCACATACCACGGCCATCTACTTGATGTGTGGCCAAATACTGAAATCCTGGATTCACCGCATCTCTCTAAAGATGTGTTCTCTTACCTTGCCAAATGTCAAAATTCCCAAGGTGGTAACAAATGTCAGAGAAAGGCCGCTTCTGAAATACTATTTTTGCTCCCAGGGTGACAGCTTCTTCTTCAAAATCCTCTTGCAATCCATTTCCACAAAGACATTTTGATTTGCTCGACTCCCCTCTCCTCTCTTGTTCACTATGTTTCAATAAAACAATAGAGCTTTTTCCACATTATATCACAATTGCTATTTTAGGAGCATATAGTTGTGTAGTGAGGCAGTGTGGCTCCCTGCCGCCCCGGAGGGGGAAGAGCCCATCCGGAGGCCGGAGTGGGCAGAGCTAGGGAGCTCTGAGCCCGCCCCTCAGAGGGTCAGGTGACGACCCGGAAGTATAAAAGCTCACCCTCATGGCTCAGTCAGGCCCCAGCTGCCGGAGAGACCAGATGTCTCCAGCATAGCTCGTGACTGGGAAGACCCCACGGCCCAAGGCAGCCGCCAGGACTGGCCGGGCCTGCCCTGCGCCCGCTATCTGGAGGAGCTGCTGGGCCTGCCCTGCGCCCGCTATCCGGAGGAGCCGCCGGACCGGCCAATCAATCCCTGCCCTGACGAACCCATGGTCTTGGATCCCCCAGAGGCCGACACCAGGACCCAAGTAGGCCCCGAGGGGGAGTGTGGAAGTAGCCCGGGGGCAGCCGACCCCAGTCTGGCTGCAGCACTGCCAGAGCCTATGTCAGTGTGTTGCGGCCAGGATCCCCACTGACTAAGCAGCAGGCCTTCTGCCGCTGCTAGGGCGCTGGGCTGGGACGCAGTGGAGTGGGAGGGCCTGCGTCCCCCCTGCCACCCAACCCGTAGGTGGCAGTCTCCCCCTCTCCCAGGCCTTTTGAGGCTTGGGCCTACTATTGTTGCTCAGCCCTGACTGAGGGCCTGAGCTCCTGACACAGTCTTATTGCCCGCCCTGAGCAGGGCGAGGCTTACCGTGTTCTTCTAGCTACAGCAAGAGCTGCCGAGGGAGACCCACGGCTGGACAAGTTTCCCCAGCGCACCGGTGTGTAGTGAGCCGGTGTGGCTCCCCGCCGCCCTGGAGAGGGTCGAGCCCCGGCAAACTCTTGTACAGTGGGGAACAAATAGGGCGCCACTGATCAAAATAAAGAAGATCCCCATCTTCATCTTCCAGCTCAAAAACTTATCCTCAACCCCTGCTTTGACCCTGGATTAAAATAAATCAACTACAGTAAATCTTGCCTGTTGATTTGCCTGCTGGACTGAAGTGATTGGAGCTGATTTCAGCTGAACTGTCCATTGCCGAGCATCTTAGACTACTTTTGGATCAGGTAGTGGGCCCTGAAGCTCCACAGAACTGAAAATAATGGGGAAAAGTGCTAAGAAACTGCAGGCACAACAGAAGACATGAAAAAGAAACAATTCTTATGTGGCATCTTTCTAAACTGAGTTATGAAGGAAAGCTGATCCACAGACACCCCAGAAGGGTTTAAATTGTGGTGGTGTTGGTGAGGGGCGTGACAGCCAAACAGCTCCACTATTCCCCCGGCCAGCCAATTGGAGGCAGATAAATCCCTCTTCTCTCCCTCAGGTGCATTCCAAGTTGTATCAGAAACCAGGGGAGGGGCTAGTCCCTCTTCCCCTCTTCTGGAAGCTGGCCATCCCCCTGCTAGTCAGACCAAACTTCCTCCAGCTGAGATGGGCAGGGGCACTCTTTTACGTCTTTCTAAATTGAGCATCATCTGTTGTTTAACAGAAATAGAAAGACAGGTGCCCTGCTTTCCTCTGCAGTAAAATGACTGCCTTGTAGTTTATCAGCCATGCCACTGGATCATCACCTCATTCAGCATTCCCATTTATCCTCTAAGGGCTAAGCCCAGGATCTTCAGAAATTGGGGCCCTAGAACTAGGCTCTCAAATTCATATTTGGGTGTCTAAATAAGAAGCCTGATTTTCAAAGACGTGTAGTGCTCAGCAGCTCCATAGGCTTCTGATGAGAGGGGACACAGGCTGATAAATTGCCATCTTTGTGCACAAGTATCACTGTTCAAAAGTGAAACTGACTTCACTAGCACTGCTGTGCACTCAGCACCACTGAAACCAATCCCCACCTATTCAGGCACGTAAATGTACATTTAGGAGCCTAACTTTGGTTATCTATTATTGAAAATCTTGGCCCTATGTTTTATTTGTCTTTGAACTATTGTGCACACCTATGGCACTAATTATTAGTAATACAATGTGTAGGTGGAGGTGCTCTGTGGGAGGTACCCAGTGACTAAATGTGTAGGAACAGAGTGTAGAAGCAGGCCCTTTGGGAAGCTCCTGGGCAAATTATGTATTGCTGCTCCTTGTGGCAAAGAGACCAATGTCAATAGAGTTCCTAAGTGAGCTGCGCTGCTTGGGAGCCCTGGAAAACTGGGGGAGGGGCTAACTGAGGTCGGTATGGATGCCAGACGATCTGCAGTGTTGGGATTGGGATTTCCCATACAATCACATCTTCTCTGGGCCACAAACCCAGCCCCAAACACAAGGGGCTAAGATCCTTAGCTGCTGTAAACCAATATAGCTTCACTGATCTCAATAGAGGCAAGTCAACATACATTATCTGAGGATAAGCCCCAAAGCTGCTCCCCAAAGAACCCTCTGTCAGACACTCTGCAAGGTCAAAATTGTGGCGTTTTCCTTTCAGTTTTTCCTTCTTCTGTGCACTTTCCTGTGGAAGGAAAACTTCGACCCTTAATGGTTGTAGCTGAAAAGCCAGTTGCACAAACCTTTATTGGATTAATGTAAAAAATATGTCCAAAGAAACATGACATTAGAACTAACTCCCTGCTATGCCAGGGAAGTTGAAGAAATGTTTTTAGTATTTTAAAACGTGCTCATGTATTTTCTTGCTGCCTCCTAGCTAAATGTAGTGGATAGTAATAGTAATTTTAGTCTTTTTAAAAACTTTATTCTACTAAATTGCAAAAGTAAGAGGAGAAATCTGACCCATTTGGGGATATATTCGGTGTTCTAACTTTGTAAGAAACCTAGGAAGCAAAGATACAAATTAATCCAATTCCAATTCCTGCTGTGGTGTGAACAGAAGGAATTGTGTGATTACAAAGAGCTGGTGCTTTAAATTATAAGCTTTGGTTATTCAGTGCTGAATGAATTTGACAAAGTGGTTGATTAAATGCACTAGTAGGAAATAACAGACACTTCAAAATCCATTATGCAGTTAGGATGAAGAATTTATTGTATATACAATTAAGCAATTCTACTGTAGATGTGCGGTAGTGTTTAAAGAAAAGGGATAAGGTAACCAAAATAGTTTTAGCATGAAAACTACAATATAGACTTAAATCTGACTAAAACAGAAGTTATTGACTTAAAAGAACACAGAACCTGAAACAACAGATTGCATCATTAACTAGGACAGTAAAAAACTGTACAGTACTAGCAACACATTACAATAAATTATGACCAATGAGGCAGTGTCTCTCATTTGGGACAAAAGGGATAAAGGGGAGGGTATTAAAATCTCATAAATCCACCATATCTCTTTTCCATCTCTGGAACCTCTTTGGAATAACTTTCCCCATCTTCATCTGAAGGGAGAAAAGGATCAGTGAAGCGCTTAAGAAATCCACCATAACGTTTCTGGTAGTCCAGCCACCATTCTGGCCTCCCTACTCTTCTCATAAAGCCACCGTATCTCTTTTGCAGCTCTTTGGCTTCATCTTCCAGTTCTGGACTGCGCTTGAAGCTTCTCATGAAGCCTCCATATCTTTTGCTGACCTCCCCATCATTATCATTTATCTGTCGGTAATGTGAGGCCCCTGTTCCCAGAAGCTCCTTCAGCAGATCAGAGGAATTAGCCAGGGCGTCATCATTGGAGTCTTTCTTCATAAACCCTCCATACCTCTTAGTAAGGATCTCTCCTCCATTTGTTTCCTCCTCCGGTTCTACGTGATAAAGCTCGTCCATTTTCTTCATGAAGCCACCATACCTTTTCATAAAGCCACCGTACTTCTTTGCTAGCAAATGGTTCTCATCCTGTTCTTTCTTGTTGTCCCCCGGAGCACTGTTGCCTTCCTCAGAAAGATCCAGTTTAGTCAATTGCACAAGCTCCTTGCAGGTTTCCCAGGCTTTGGCAGAAGGCAGTTTTCCTTCACATTCTAGTGTGCATGCCTGAAAAATTGATGGGATTTACTAAGAATGATTTAAAAGAAACAGACACTCTGATGTCATCTTGTCTTTTTATTTTTCGTTAAAGGCACAAGCCAATCTCTAGATCAGTGATACTCAGACCTCACTGGTTCAGGAGCCAAACTAGCCATCAACATTACCCAAAAGACCCACAGTAATGTGAATTCATTGTTTCATTTACTATAGTACTAGATATTCATATTTAAACAATATGACGGGAAATATTTAGGTTTTATAAATATTATTCTCACAGCAAAATGGCTGAACAAGTATTATTATTTTATCAATTACAATTGGTTGTAAACATAGTAAAAGCATCCCAATTAGTTAATAATTAAGTCAGTGTTTTAATATCATGTGCCACAAAGAGCCACAGGAGACACATTAAAGAGCCACTTGCAACTCAGGATTCTTAGTCTGAGTATCACTGCTCTAGATACTCATTGGCTGGAAGGAACTTCCCTCATGGACATCTTATTCCATAATTTTTCATTATGCCATTTCTTGTGCCTTCCCCTCAAACAGCTGGTTTGGTACTGGTCACTGTCAGAGGATACTGGACTAGATGGACCACTGGTCTGATCTGCTACAGCAATTCCTATGTTTCTAGTTTAAACAAAGACATCCATGTGCACACACACATACCTCTCAGAGGTCTGGAACAATTTATGAGCACTTCTAAGTAATATTCTATATTTAAGTGTACAATTTAGGGAGGTCAAAAATGTCTCGTCAAAAGGATTTTGACAAGGATTAAGTAAGATTAGGTAAAACTGAATAATCAGCAGTAATACTGAAATTATTTCACTTCAGAAAAGTCATTTCCACTCCACTAGCTCATAATTTGCAATGGGTGGGGCTCTGAGAAATGATTAAATCATATAAAGGTATGATCTCATATGATCAGATTTTTGCAATTGTGAAATGCATTTATTATATTTGAAATGTTACGTTTGTTTACATTATTAACCTTATTGTCCCATCATCTTTAATAATAAATTTATGATACTTAATTGCCCTTTTAAAGTGCCTTCCATCTAAAGCTCTCAGAAAGCTTTACAAATGTGAAAATAAGCCTCAAAACAACTTTGTGTGGTAAGTGACTACCTTGTTACTTCTGTAGTTACCTGTGAGTTAAGTCCTAAGTGTGATAAATATATTAAGAAACAGCATCTATCAACCTACTGTATATGCTGTAGCAAGATAGAAGATTTATGGTACAATTATTTCCATATTGGTGATTACTCTAGAGTTAAAGGTTCATCTCAAATTGAGTTTAAAGGAATTATGTTGTTAGCAACATTCTACTCCTAAACCATCACAATTTTTCTTTTTAACTGGCACTGCATGACTATGTCCATGTGAACATATTTGGGTTATTACAATAATATGGTCTCAGCTGCAATCTGATTTGGAAATCACTGTAATACAAAAAACAACCTATTTTTTGGTTAATGGATTAGTTTAAACAATCATTCTCCCCCTGAACAAACATACACCACACACACGGTATATAATAATGGTTTGATTACTTCCTATGGTGTTCATTATGATAAAAGTAATAGTGAACTCACTAGGTGTTAATGTCTTTAGAAACATTCGTATATAAAACCAAGACTATATAAAATATTGTATGATACTGTACTTTTTCTGTTTTGGTATATCAGCTGATAAATGCTATCACTGAACAGGATTTAACACTTCCTTAAATAGCTTTGCTGTACAAGAAAGATTGTTAAAGTTAACTTAGGCTCTCCAATTAACTTTGAGAATTCATTGAAATAGACATACAGAATTTCACGTGGACATATGTCAACTGCATTCAGAATATTTTCTGTGTGTAATTGCTGTGTTTAAAGAGGTGCTATTGTTTCTGTTATAAACAAAAATGTTCAGTGATTTATAATTCAGGTAGATTAGGGTCCAAAGCTTCATTCCTTGTGCACCGAAACAATCACAAACTTCCATTAATTTCAATGGGAGTGAGTACACAAACACTACAAAATCAAATCCTTGAGGCCAGAGTCTGCAAGGTGCTGCTGAATGTCTCTTGCCAGTACTCAGCACCCTATTCCCACCAATTACTATGGGAATTGAGGACACCCAGCATTTGTCAGAATCAGACCCTTAAGTTCCATGCAAGGTGCCATTGTGACTATATTTTAAAATAATGCTAGTGGTTTTTAACGGCCGAGAACACGCTCAGTTCGGATCGTTTCTCATGCTTTAACAGGCTGTACTTTTAAGAACAAATTAAAGGTTGTAGCCCTACATTTGACAGGCAATGTCCTTTGAGCGGACTCATGCTTCCGGACATCTGGGAGAAAAAAGCTCTTGAGGTATTGCTGCTCCTGTGGGGCTTGATCCTCCTCCACTGGGAGCAGGCTCAGACTCTTAGGACTGATCCTGCCAAGGGCTGAACTTTCTGGCGGGGATCTAGCAAAGCACGCAGTCTCACTGACTTCAAGAAGCACGTGAAGAGCTCCATTGAATTCAGTGGGACTATTCACTACAGAGGTAAAAGCTGTGCTTGGCCGGACCTCGGCAGCTCGCACCTCTCCATGGTACCATCTTTCAACCGATAAGCTCCAATACCTAATAATAAGAGGAGCCAATGAAGGCTAAAATACGGCAGCGCATCATCATGTCATCTTCTGCAGTCCTTCCCGTACGGAATTGCTGCAGCCTTGAGTCTGAATTTTCTTGCTTTTTTGGATTTAAGTAAGAGTCTTGGCCGTTAACATTTTTTAAACTTATACTTTTTTTCGTTTAAACGAATACTGTCAAACAAGTGAAAACTAGTTTCAGCTACTTCTTCTACCCCTGAGTGTGTGTCTCAGCCATTTTTTGTTTGTTTACCTCCCTCCCAAGTCACAGAAGAAAATAGACGGAGATCTGTCTGACTGATTATACAGGAGAGCTATACACAGACCCACGCTATAAATATAGGATCCAGTGCTGTCAGATGCAAACATTAAATAAACTGGCAGACCGATAATTGTTCTCTAATTTCTCCCAGCTATAGAATGTTAGGTGTTATAACAATGAGAAGTGAAAGTATTTCAGGCAGAAATGTTTGCTTTCTAAACAGGAAACGGGAAATTGTGAATAAAAAAAGTCTATTGTAAGTTTACATCGCGTTTGCAGACTTTTTAAACGCATGTATGTCGAGTGGAGATTTACCGTTCAAGCTATTACTTGATAATTGAGACATGGAATAACAGATTTAAAGGAAATCTTTAAAATCCCGTGTCTACGGTGACTTGTCCTAGCGGTGTAATAATAATAATAAGACTCCCATTCTGCAAAGCTATCCTCAAAGGACAAACAATTTTCATTATGATGTAAGGCACTTTATAATGGACGGTTTTCGAATTAGAAGACAAGAACAACGCAGTATCCTATACGGGAGAGTCTTCTTTGCTAAAGGAACAGTACGTTATTAGGGAACGCCTAAGAGCGAAACTACAGAGTAGCTCAGGGTGAGACGTTCTCGTCTTGAGAGGATTCGAATACGGACTCTTTTGCCATCGGTTCATTTCTAGTCTGCCTTTACATCTCATTATTCGCTGCTTTCTCTCTTTTAAGATGTGATGGATTTGTTCTGAACCAGAGACTTTGACCGGAATTTCTGCAGTGATTCTATTCTTCTCTAGGCTTCAATCTCTCTTAGTCCCACCCGGATCATCGAAAGGCTCCCGGGAACTTTTTTGCTCCCGGGAGCTTATCCTACGAATTCTCAAAATTAAACCTAGTGATCAGGGTAACTTTAGACTCACAGTTAAAAGGGTGATTTCTTTTAAGGGGAGGAGGAGCTTGGTAGTTTTTAGAAGGGCCTGTTCCAATCTCTCCCCGAGCCCCCAAGATAACTCCGGTGACAGTTCTAGGCTATTTCACTCTAGCGGTGTGACATTAGACTTCCAATTAAAATACTGCAATTTAATTTTTTAAGAAGATAATTGGTTACAGCAGCGCTGGTAGACTCGAGTTTAAATATCAGAACCCCCTCCCCCCCCCTTATCTGCCGGGCACTGCACTTGGGGCTAGGCCCTGTAAAGGGCCCAGCGCCCTAGCTCCCCTAGGCTTCAGTGAAGGTCAAAGGCGCTCGCTACCTGCCACCAGTGCAGGATGGGCCCCTGGGAGGAGGCATCATTGCCTGCTCTGCTCTAAGGCCCGATCCTCCCCAGGCACCTTGGAGCACCCGCAAATGGACCTCAACAGTCAATTAGCTCAACTCACTCGCTGGGGCCAGGCAGGAGTGTTGGGGAGCTCTCCAGGGTGCCGAACTGTCCGGCGTGGCTCAGGGGAAGGACAGCGCGGAGCCGCAGGAAAGCCAGCCCGGACAGCGCCTGCGGCCCACCGCCTCCACAGCTAAGCTCCCTTCGCTAACTCTGCGTGAGAGGAGCCGGCTCCCGAGTCCTGTGCGAGCCTCCGGGAGCAGCTGCTGTGCCTCTTGGGCGGCGAGTGGGGTCAGAGAGTTACTTGGGAGCACATGGATCCCGCTTACCAGGGGGTTGATCTCTGCGTGGTGACCCAGCCGGTAGGAGCAGGAGGCGCAGTCCTTGCTGCAGTCCGCCTGCACTGTCCAGACAAGGCAGCTGCTGAGAGCCAAGAGCAAGCCGCAAAGTCTCAGGAGCAACGCCATGGGCTGCGAAAAGAAGAGGTCAGAATTCAGCCTGGCACCAGCTTCCTCCCTGGCCCCAGGAGAAGCGTCCCCAACCCCACAGCCAGTCACACCTGTGCCCCGGCTTCCTCCAAGCCTCAGACACGGGCGCTGCAAACTATTCCCCAGCAGCGGAACCCACCCCCTGGTTAGGTCCGGGACGCGGAACGCAGCAAGTTGGAACTCTCTGCGCTCTCTGTTCCGCAGCTGCAGACAGGGACAGCCTCCGGCTTTCCCTTCCCTTCCCAGGGTCGCCAAGACCTCAGCCCCCCTGGCTGTTCTGCTGGTGCTACCAGAGCTGGAGTTGTTCCTTTTTGCAAGCCCAGAGCCTGCACGGGAACAGGACCTAGCGCTGTATGCGAAGAACGAACTTAACGTGGTTAACAGAAATCAAATCAATTTCCCCCCAAATTAAAGCATTTCTCCTGCCATTCTCTTTCCCTGTCCCCAGTCATTATCCCGGAAAGCCGGACAGAGGCAGTTCCCCGGCACAGCCAGGAAAGAGGTTAGATACCAGAACTACAGAGATATTCGAAGGTAAAGCCTCGGAGCGATTGCCTGGCAAGAGTTTGCACGCGCACAACCCCCGAACAACAAAGCAGTAGCCTATGGAAACTAGACAGACAGCAAAGCTGTTACAGAAATAAAACTCAGCCAAGCCACTGCAAGCAACCTTACTAGACGCCTCGCCCCAGCCCCCAGCCTAGTGCCGGTCCTTACAGCAATTCACTCACATACATGCTGCTTTCCTTGGGAACCCGCAGAAGCACCTCGGGAGTGAGCAGTAGCTTGCTGGAGCCTCTTGGTTTGAGCCCCTTGTATTTATAGAAGGGCTAAGCAATTTGTGCCTCTGGAGAAGCTCTAGAAGGAAAAAAAATACAGGAGAAAAGTAATAGCCCGCAGTTACTGAGCATCAGCTTCAGTAAATCTTACAGGAGCGAGGAGGCAGGGGGAGAAAGTGCCCAGTTGGAGCTGCGGTCTCCTGGCCCCCCGCACTGGCTGGATGGATGGATCTGTTTGCAGGGCTGCGGAGCTCTTCACCAAAGTCAGGGCTCTGGGAAGCGGATGGAGCCACTTTATAATTAGTCAAAAAGGGAAAAGCGAAGCCTCCCCCAATCGCCTACGGGCTCCATCTGACGCAGGACCTACGAAATCCCACTCAGGCCCCCTTATTAGCGATTCTGCCTGGGAAGGGGATGAGCCAGGCAGGGAAGTCAGCGAGCACGTTTTCTGTCCCCCCCGCGGGTAGCTGGGGACAGCTGGGGGCAGAGGGCGGGGGAGGCCGTGCTCCAGGAAATGGCCTTGGCCTTTTACAGCACCCACCTGGCTTTCGGGAGCTCTCCCGTCGAGCGTGAGACAAGTGACTTGGGGGAGTTGTGGGCGCCAGGCGTGAGCGACCCCCGCCGCTTGGTCTGAGTGTGTGAGTGACATAGGACAAGAGGAGCCCACCGGCAAGGGGCAAGCTGGACCCCCGCCCCTCTTTGGTCCACGTGCTCCAGCCTTGCAGTGGAGAGCCCTGCCCCACTGGCTAACCCACGTTTCTCTATGTCACAGCACTAGGGGCTCGGGAAACTGCTGCAGTGAACTGCAGCACAGAGCGCAATGGGGGCTGACACCCCCTTCCCTCCACTGGTCCTCCCCTTTGATCTTCCTTAACATCTGGCACGGCTAGACCATTCCACCCCATGGAAGCTGCAAATAAATAAATAAATTAATGGAGATATCCCATCTCCTAGAACTGGAAGGGACCTTGAAAGGCCATCGAGTCCAGCCCCCTGCTTTCACTAGCAGGACCAAGTACTGATTTTGCCCCAGATCCCTAAGTGGCCCCCTCAAGGATTGAACTCACAACCCTGGGTTTAGCAGGCCAATGCTCAAACCACTGAGCTGTCCCTCCCCCCATCCTCCTATGCTGGGGAAGAGAAGCCAGTGTGTAAAACTCCATCATACCCCACTGGAAAGAAGAAAAGGCTCCAGAGGACAAAGCTGCAGGGTCAAGGAGGTCGGTGTCACTAAAGACACGGGGAGGGAGGGAGATTTCATTCTACCAGCGGTTCAGCTGCCTCTTCTTGCTTGTATGTGGCCTGGGGCTTTTCCCATCTCTCTAACCTGTTTGACTCTACATAAGAACATAAGAACAACCATACTGGGTCAGATCAAGGGTCCATCTAGCCCAGTATCTTGTCTTCCAACAGTGGTGACTACCAGGTGCCCCAGAGGGAATGAACAGAACAGGTAATCATCAAGTGATCCATCCCTGCTGTTGCCCACACTCTAGGTGAGGTTTGCTCGCTAGAGGGCGCCCAGCTCCTGCAAAGGCTGGAGGAGCACCCAGGCTTGTGAAAGGGGTATGCGCTGTAAGCTTTTGTGCACACTGTCCATGTGAAAATGAGCCTAATGCTCACCCACAACCAATGGGGATCATAAGGTTGGCCATACTGGGTCAGGCCAATGGCTTCCGACAGTGGCCAGTGCCAGATGCTTCAGAGAGAATGACCAGAATAGGGCAATTATCAAGCGATCCATCCCGTCCAGCCCCAGAATCTCATAGTCAGAGCTTTAACATATTCCTCTAGTGTTATAAACCTCCTGGCAACATTTGTAAGACCCAGAAACCACTCTCTCCTGGATGTAGCTTGGTCCCTGGGTAAATTGTGATTTTAAGGAAAGCTGCCCAAGCTTTCAAGTTGCATGTCTCCCTACCCTATTTGACTGATTTTTCTTCTCTAACTGATGGATATTTGGCCCATGGACCCAAAAACCATGATAACATTTCAGACCTCAGAAGTAAGGCGCAATCTAAAACTGACCACACCTCACAGACTGAGTTGCTTCAGGAAGGTTTTACAGTTTATTCTGGTCCTGTAAATTTCAGGACAGCTAATATCCCTCCCCAAGACCTCTCCCGATTGCATGTGAAAACACAAGTGGGTTCTCATAGAAATTAAAAGAACTGAAATGGATATGTTGCTTTAAAGTTTCTATTCACAAAGAATGACTATGATCTGTAGCATGTGAGGCATTAAAACTGCCAATTCCTACTGCAGGAGTGAGATTTTCAGTTTATCAAGGCACATCATAAAGTGTGAATGTACAGAGTTCCCTCTATTTCTGCTCTATCTTCTACCAGATTAAACATATTGGACCAGAGCTGTATTCACAACTAATTTGGCTTCACTGTCTGGGTACACATCATACAGCTTTATGAAACTGCCACTACCAATGAAGTCTGAAGACACTGCCATAGGCCAGAGGCTGCATGAGTTTGGATCAGTTGTTGGATGCTTTTTGTTAATATGATGTGGGCTCCAAACACAGGACACGAAACATCAGTGGACAATGGATCTTGTCTTTATCCCATCTCTTGCTCTGCACCAGCTGTGGAATGTTCTGAGTTTAAGTTTTTGAAGAAAGTTAGAAAAATCTCTCATGTCCATAATTCCCTCTCCTCCCCCATGGAAACTAAAGGTTTTGTATGTTAATAGCAATTATTATTGTAACAAAGCAACAGCAATTACACCTCACATCTCTTTGTATGACACATTGAAATTATTGCAGCTTTTTAAAAAAGCATGCCACAGCTGCCTTACATAAGTGCCAATAAGTCCTTTGTTAAAAGTGCTGTATTACTTTTGTTTTTATTGTTTGGTTTTGTTGATATTTTGTCTTTGGGGAAAAAAACATTTTAAGCCAAACATTGCTATAAAATATACAGCAGTCGCCTTTTAAAAGTTAGTCACACTAAGATTCATACGTTCCAAGGCCAGAGGGGGCCATTAGGATCATCTAGTCTAACCTCCTGTATGACACAGGCCATAGAACTTCCCCAAAATAACTCCTAGAGCATATGCTCATCAGACATTCTAACATTATCTTCTAAGGACATACAAGAAAATGTAGCTAAGAAATCCCAGTGCTATTACAGAACACTCAGAATGCTGCTTCTTCTTTAAATGCTGCAGCAAATCTGATGTTTTAGAGAAGAGGGTTGAACAGCTGTGGATTGAAGTTTAAGGCAAGTTTTCCCTATTAGTTAATCAAGATGCAGCGTCTTTCACATGGTAAGAAAAGCAGGAGGAAGAACAAAAATAACTGTCATTTTTCATTAAAATCCAAGAAATTCTATCCATTCTCATAGATGAATTTGCCCCAAAATTAGAAAAACACCCCAAGCTGAATCCTGCTCCATCCAGACTAAAGAGAGGAATCAGGGACACTGGCCTGGATCCTCTCTTGATCCATCCTTGCTGGCCTAATCCAGAGGGCAGACAGAGGGCTTAGGTAAAGTGTTCTCTGCTTTTCCTTCTCAAAGGAGCAAAGAAAGCTCCAGCTTGTACATACTGCAGCTACTAGCCATTCTGGGGGGATGGCTATATCCCTAGACAGGCCCTTTTGGATGGTGTCTGTATCAGCTGATATAGGAGCAGGTCCACCTTCCTAGCACTCCCTACCTGAAACCTATTGGTTCTGGTGTGCATGAGAGGAGAGTTACTGCCACAACTATTACTCCTGGGATCAGAGATTGGGTTCAGACTAAAGTGAAGTGGCTAGACAAAGAGCCCCAAATGGATCTCTATGCTAAATAAAGAGCCGTTAAAACCAATGTAGTTGCACTAATGTAAAACCACTAAGTGAGAAGAGAATCAAGGCCCCATATTTATAGAGTAACACCAAACAGCTTTGGGAATTAATCCTCTTGAGAAAAGGAAGATGTTAAAACGCATCACAATGGTCCCTAGTTTTATTTATGTTGACATGTGAGGGATCTGAGTTTGGAGTACTGAGTTAGTTCCCACACTACTGTGTTAGCAGGGATACTACATGGATGGTATGCAGTCTGCTCAGGAGAATGAAATGTCTATGCCACTCTGACTCCCTCTGATGTGGTAAGGTGCATGGTAAGGCAGTGACTGGCTGCAGGTGCCACATTCAGTCCCTCCTCCACCACATGGAAAGTCTTACAAGCAGGGCCTTCTGCAGAGGTATAAAAGCAGGAAAGAGGGGGATGTTCAGTTCCCAGGGCTTGAGGGAGTATCAGAACAACTGTGTATCCATAAAGTAACTAGAACATTAGCCTACAGCTCTTAAGCACAATGAAATTTTAATTGCAATTGCAATGCAATGCAATTGTCTCAGCCAGTCAGGGCCCAGAGATGCTGTATAATTATTGACTCAGAACTGTACAGTCATTTATCAGATACGCTAATCCTTGCATGCTAATTGTGTGTCTGTGTGTATGTGTGTGTGTGTGTGGGGGGGAGACATTGGGCTGCATAATGCCTGTGTGCTTATTTCTCAGTCATGAAACAGCCAGGGCTTAAATTCAGCTGGAGCTGTCCGGAGCAGAGTGCCAGTAAATATTTTTAAACCCCTTGGGGGGAGTGTGAGCCAGTTTCAGGGGGTCCATAGGGCCCCACGGCTGGAGCCTGGAGCCCTGAGCCCTGGCACACCCCATGGGGCTTTGAAAACCCAAGTTTCAGCATGCCCCATGGGGGCTGAAGACCCGAGCCTCAGCGCCTCCCACAGGGCAGAAGCCCTGAGCCTCGGAGCCTCCCGTGAGGCAGAAGCCCTGAGCCTTGGTGCATCCTGCGAGGCATAAGCCCCAAACCCTGGCACACCCCCTCTGCCCATGAGGCTAAAGCCCTAAGACCTCCCGCTGCAGCTGAAGCCCAGCGCCTTGAATGAGGGGGGACATGGGGGCTCTGGGAAGTAATCTATGAGAATTTAAGCCCTGGGTACAGTACATAATTCCTGTGCTCTAACAGGCTATTGCCTTCATAACCTCACATTCACATGCCTATAACAGTCA